TGAATCATGGGTATTTGCAAAAATACCCTATAAATCTTAGTATTTATGAAATGACCCCTCCAATCATCAACTCTGTCAAAAAATACCACTAAAATCAACAAATCATCAACCCGGTGCTAAAATTTTGACTATTTTTTTGATAATATTGCGATTGAAAATAGCTTATTAATTTTGATGTGAATCATGGGTATTTGCAAAAATACCCTATAAATCTTAGTATTTATGAAATGACCCCTCCAATCATCAACTCTGTCAAAAAATACCACTAAAATCAACAAATCATCAACCCGGTGCTAAAATTTTGACTATTTTTTTGATAATATTGCGATTGAAAATAGCTTATTAATTTTGATGATTAATTATTTTGAGAGTAATTTTTCCAAAGATAGAATATTTAAGGGGTAGTTTTGCAAATACAGAGATATAGAGGGTATTTTTATAAATACCATGATTTAAGGGGTATTTATGCAAACAACCCATCTAAATAGAAAAGATTATGTTTTCAAACCTTCAAAATTTATCATCAGTTAATAGTTTGGATGAGATGGTAAATTTAATTTAACCTAAAAATAATTTAAATTTTAACTTTATTATCATCATTCAAATTTTTGGTCAACTAATAATTAGATAAGATGATAAATTAGTTTACCTATAGATATTCTTTCTAAATATTAATAATTAATTGTTTTGTGGGTAATGTTTTTCCAGAATTAAAGATCTGAGGGGTAGTTTTGTAAATATTAATATTTAGAGGGTTTTTTGGAAATATCATGCTTTAAGGGGTATTTATGCAAATAACCCATTTAAACAGAAAAGAATATGTTTTCAAACCTTCGTAATGTATCATCAACTAATAGTGTGGACGAGATGATAAACTTAGTTAACTAAAGATAATCTTTATAAATTTTAACTTTATATCATCATTCAAAATTTTCATCATCTAATAATTGGATAAGATCAGGGCCGTCCCTGGGGTAAGCCCACCAAGCCCCGGGGCAAGGGCAACCCAGGGCCGGGGGGCAATCCATCCCTCCCGCTCCTTTACCCCTCAAACCGTAACCTTTATGCAAAAATTGTTAGGGGTTCTATTTGTAAAAGAACTCTAATGAATACCCAAAACGCTACCCAACTCCTTTATTTCCGTCAGCA